GTGGGTGTGTGGGGGTGTGGGTGTGTGGGTGTGTGGGTGTGTGGGTGTGTGGGTGTGTGGGTGTGTGGGTGTGTGTGTGTGTGTGTGTGTGTGTTTGTTTGTGTGTGTGTGTGCACGTGCATCTTTATTTGTTTGTTTCGGAGTGCTTGTGCGTTTGTTTTTATGGTTGTTCCACCGTTTGTCTGTTGGTTAGTTGTTGGTCAGTATACAGCACACGAATTCAATAAGCAAGCGAACAACTCAATGACATGTATTTGCGCATTAACTGCTGTATGTTTGTACGTGTCTGTGTATGCACCTATACATGTATGTATGGATGTAATGAAATAATACACTACTTATACACAAATAGTATCATTCATGTATGCACGTATGTATGTCTGTAAGTAGTTCCGCTTAAAAGTCTGTCTGGCCGGGCGGCTTTGTGCCGAGTCCGGGGATGGACCATGGGGCTGACGAGGGACCAAATACTGCGCACAACCAAATTGGCGCCTGTGCCACGTAAGCTTCTGGGTGCAGGCATTGTGAGTCCTTCAGTTTTTCGGTTCGGTGCTTGGAGAGTTAGCGATCTGTGGGCTTCGGGTTCACTGTGGGTTTCGACACAGCAAGGCAAAAAAGGTAGCAGTTCCGTGGTTTCTGCGTTGAGACTTTCAACGGCGGAGACTTCTGGGGCGAGAAGTGCAGGCAAGAAGTTGGATGCTAAACATCAAACTCCGTCCTCGAACCGCTGACAAAGAAAAGGTTTGCTCTACGCGAGGTTTGACACCTTTCGCTTGCGTTGTTCGCAGCTCCTCTACGCCCCAGCATCCAGCGGCTGCCGAAATCGGGTTTGCAGTCGTATCGCCTTTTCCGGGTACTCGAGGGCTGTATACGGTTTAGGGGTCCTTTTTGTTCCGTGATCCAGCTGCAAAAGTAAACGGAAACCACAAGGTGAATCCGACGCATAAAAACACTTACTTGGAAGGCAATCAAGCTACAGAACCCTCTAAGTCTAACCATGCGTATCGTAACAAGCAGAGAAGAAACCCGAAATCAAACATCGGCAGCGCCTAAAACAAATATCTCGGCCACTCGATCGGGGTAGTTCGCGTTGCTCTCCGAGATCATAACCTCGACAAGAAGGGCAATGGTCTCAACCTGAATCAAATCAGAAAAAAGCCTACAGAATGGAAGACGCTGGCGGTGTGCGAGAAACAATCGTGTGTTCCTCGCAAATACACACTGCCAGGGCGTACCAGGTTCTAAGCAGCACCCGAACTCCGATGCAACCGAAACCTGAAGCCTGTTCCACTACGACATACAGTTGCGTGGGCGGGGCTTTTGGGTGGGCTTCTGGGATCAAGAACGGGTGCCTTTACCACCGCCATGGAGAAGTTGCTGCGGCTGGCACCCTCCACATCGATGATCAAGACCTTGGAGTACGAGGGGTTCGGAGGGAAGGGCTCAGGAGCGAAGAAGTTGTGAGTTCAAGATCTTGAGTTCTACACACTAAGGCAGCAGAAGCGACCCGAGTACAGGGTCTTGTTGCATTGAGGATCCTTTCACACCCCGGAAGGTAGAAGAACACAACACCTTGCACGTGGGCTGATGTTGAACCATTGGTCCAACCCACACATGGGCAAATAATGACCTCTGCTTAGAGTGGGCGCAAGCTCGCCCTAGGCCAGCACTCAGTACGCTACTCAAACTCTCACCCTGGAAGTCCGGGTTACACTTCCAGAGGTTTTGGCATGCACAGGCTCAGGAGTAAGTGACTCAAACCTCAAGGCAACTCAAGGATGTTCGACAGCTGACAAGACTCAGTCTGCAAGCCTTAGAAAGTCCCTGGCAAGACATTAAAGCTGAACATCAGATTCGGGTTGGCTTCCGGCCTCGCAAAAATAAAGCCATGGAAGCCAGCCACGGTCACGGTTCAGGGGTTCATGATGCGGTCCAAAGCACATACTGTTCCAATGGATTCCTTGGCACGGCAGAGCGGGTTGGGATGGTCGGAACGACGGGGAGGGCCCCAACCCTATGACTGCTTGGCCAAACCCAATCTTGATCAAAGAAGCAGCAAGAGAAGCTACTGTCTCAAGCAACACCGTCAGACATCTTCGAGCACAGTGTCAAGTTTAGTTGTTTCGACTCTCACTCCCGCACACAGCAGGCAAGGCTCCACATTTTAGTTGTTTAGAGTTTACGGTGTGTTGTGTGGTCTTGGGGTTTATCGGTTTGTGGAATCAATCGCTTTATCAAGCGTGGGCTTTCTTGGGCTGAGGGTATTCTTGCCTCCTACTTAGCAAGGACAAGCCCGCAATGCAGGGTAACGTGACGTCTCAGAACATGCCCATCAAGCCACATTTCAGCTCAATGAATTACGGATACACCTTTCACAGGCAATCCTGAACAGTTCCCGACCAGACTTTTGAGTCAGATCAACCAGCATTAACCTTCAGCTTCCGAAAATCAGCAGCATCATACTCAAGGAATACAGAGACAAAGATTACCCGAAAGCCCTGTTGGCTGTGTCTCCCACTCACCTCACTGTCATGTGTTCACCACACTCCATTACCTCGGACTCCTGAGACCCCGAGATAAGGGAGTGCAGCTTCTTTCCCAGTTATGGGGCAGTCAGCAAGTCAGAGGACAGAGTAACAGTTACGGGTAGTTGCAGGGCATGTATGGCTATGGCCAAGGCCACTGCGGGTGTGTATTACACACACTGAACAGCAAAATGTAGCCAGTACAAGTGCAAACCAATTACGAACTAGTTACAAATTATTAATTAAAAGAGGCGCCCGGCTGTTTTTGAGTGAACCTGATGAAAGCAGGCATGATGATGAGTATGACATGAGGTGCCCGGCTGAGGGTATAGGGAATAGGGTTCCACTCATGTCCGCGCAATCCTGAAGGCCTTCATCCTTACGAACGGTCCATGGTACAATGTGGGAACCTGATTAAGAAGCCCCAGGCTTGGGGATTTAGCATCGGGCAACGCCATCCTGTGCATGCGATCAGGACAAAGCCGCAAGCCCACGATTTCCCGGAAATTTCCCGACCCAGTCGAGCTTCCTCTCTGACATCTGCGCTGAACGCTTCTGCAGCAAATGCGACACGACCTGGGTTTCGGCGCTGACACACGGACAAGGGTTCAGGGTATAGGATCCGGCTGTAAGATGTTGTAAGGGCTTCTGGTACCACCAAGGCTTCGGGTCAAAGGGCAGGGCTTCTTGGGCAGTTCAAGGAGTTGGGCTGTCCGCACCTCCGCAATCTCGTCAGGCGAGGTTCAAGTGCTGAAGGTGGGAAGGGTACTGTTACGGTACCTTTGCAACGATGCCCCATGGCTCTCTGAAAAAACACAGGCCGGGGTGCGCCCAAATTTACCGATTCCGAAGTAAGTACAGCTTGAGATTCGAAGCCATCCAAGCCTAACACCGACAGCACCACAACCCTGCAGCCCCGACTGAGATGAAAAGAAACCCCCATGCATTCACAACCACAGAAACGAAACACGGAACGCCTTGCGGCAATGGAGCCCCTCTTCTGCGATTGTCGACAGCAGAGGATACCTCGAGACATCCTTCACTTGAAGCCCAAACCTGGAACCCCAAGCCTCAAGTCCTTGAAGCCCGCTCAACAGAGCACCACCGAACAAAAAAAACAAACGCACATACTGTAATGCTCAGCTGCTGCATCAGCCAGTCCTCGGTACATGGTCCGAAATTGCTCCGCCTCAGTTTTTGGGGAAGGCCCCTCTCGTAAGGGTAGCGGGGCGGGTGCGGGGCGCAGGCTTTCGGCACTCACACTCGGACATGCCTGGGCGGAGGCTTTAGGGTTCAGGGCGGGCCCGCTTGAGTACCCACTCCCTCAAGCTGTTACACCGTTTGTCAACTCAACGAATAAAACAACCCTTCCGAAACCAGAAAACACAAAGCACTTCCCATATCCTCCAACAGATCCCAAAGCACAATCCCAAAACAAAGCCACTTCTCAGAACCACAATCAAGATTTAAAACACAAGCTTTTAAGGTGTAAAGCTTCGGGTTTTGTACGAACTCGTAGGTCGTCTCGATCACTGCTCTTTCCGAGCAGCCCGCGTGCTTGATTATCCTATAGAGCCTACTGATGACACACACACACATTCCAAAACCCGACAGGCTTGCAAAAGCGGTCCGACTTTTCGGCCCAGCAGGTCGAACAGAGGTGCCCAATGGCGGTTTGAAGCTCGTAGCTTGCTGGCGCGTGTGGGACTCCTCCCGGTCCAGCTCTTCAATTTTCCTTTAGGAGCCCTGACCACCCCCGAGTTCCGATTTCCTGCAGAAACACAACCCGCGGATTCAAAGACACACGAGGCCCTGAAATCCAGATCGAAACGTGGATCCTCATGCAGGCTGTAGCCGGAACAGACCCGGCACATGCCTACGGAACACAACAACTGCACGGACCGCGACAACTCGATGACTCCACACGAACCGCCTGAAACTTGAACTCCACTGTGTAATCCAAAAGCCACAAGCCACCCTACAACACGCCTCAAAAAACAACCGAAAACCAGAAACAAGACAAAGAGACAGAGAGACAAACATAAGCTTCAATGGAAAGCCTCTGCGACCGTTTGGTGGCAAACAAACCTGATCCTTCAGCCCCAGAAATCCAAGCACAAAACCTTAGACCGGGAAGATGTGGCCACAAGCCAAACGGCACACAAGCAAAACGAACTTCAGGCTGGCCAGGCGCCGATGTGCAGAAGGTGGCAACCTTTCTTCAGGACCCTTTGTCCTTGCGCCTTTTATGATCTCAGCTGGTACCCGACGGACAAAAGATGTCTGGCCTCGGGCTTTACTGGATCCTTGCCACTGAAAATGAAGGCGCAATGTTTAACACCCTGCAACTAGTAGTAGCAGGCGTTGTCGTCGTGGTAAAGTGGCAGTAGTAATAACAGTAGCAGTAGCAGTAGCAGTAGCAGTAGCAGTAGGAGTAGGAGTAGGAGTAGTAGCAGTAGTAGTAGTAGTAGTAGTAGTAGTAGTAGTAGGAGCAGCAGCAGCAGCAGCGGCAGCAGCAGCAGCAGTAGCAGTAGCAGTGGTAGTGGCAGTGGCAGTGGCAGTGGCAGTGGCAAGTAGTCGTAATTATTAGTTGTAGTAAACGTCGTCGTCATCGACGTCTACTAGTGGTAGTAGAAGAAATTAGTAGAAGTAGAAGTAGTAGTAGTAGTAGTAGTAGTAGTAATAATAATCAAAATAGTACAAAAAATGCTACTAATAATAATATGTATATATATATATATATGTATATACACATATAGTAGTAGTGGTAAGTAGTAGTAGTAGTAATAGCAATAGCAATAGTAGTAGTAGTAGTAGTAGTAGTAGTAGTAGTAGCAGCAGCAGTAGTAGTCGTCGTCGTAGCAGTCGCCGTCGCGTCGTAGCTGCCGTAGCCGTCGTCGTTGTCGTCATAGTATTAGTCGTCGCTGTCGTTGTCGTAGCCGTAGCAGCAGCAGCAGCAGCACCAACAGCAGTAGTAGTAGTCGCCGTCTTCGTAGCAGCGGTCGTGGCAGTAGTAGTAGCAGTAGTAGTAGTAGTAGTAGTAGTAGTAGTAGCAGTTGTAGTAGTAGTAGTAGTAGTAGTAGTACTAGTACTAGTCCTAGTCCTAGTCCTAGTACTAGTACTTGTACTACTTGTAGTACTAGTAGCAGCAGTAGTAGCAAGATAGCAGCAGAAGCAAGAGCAAGAGCAGGAGCAGGAGCAGGAGGAGCAGTGGTAGGAGTAGGAAGTAGCAGCAGCAGTCGCAGTAGCAGCACAAGCAGGAGGAGCAGTAGCAGCAGCAGCAGCAGCAGCAGCACTTGGAGGAGCAGTAGCAGCAGCAGCTGTAGCAGCCGTAACCGAAGTAGCAGTGCGAGTCGAAGCCGCAGTAGCCGTCGTCGCGGAAGTGGAAGTCGTGACTGCTAGTGGTGGTGGTGGCGCCAGTGGCAGTGTCAGCGTGCAACGGACAACGGGCAGCAGGCAGCGGCAGTAGGTCGTGCTAGTGGCAGTCGTAGTGGCTGTCGACGCAGCCCTAGCGTAGCTTCAGAGGCAGCAGGAGTCGTAGAGTCTGGTTCGAAATAAGACCTATCAGGGTGGTTGTGCATGGCTGTTTTTCGCGACGAAAGTACAGTCATGCGAAATCCTGCACCGCTATTCGTGCCACAGCTCCAGCGCCCGGGAATAGCGAGCTGCAAGCAGCAACGAGGTCCTACATTCAGTCAACACTGTCTGTGCTGACCTCACGACCTATGCAATAGCTCCGGCTGCTAGGCGACCAAGGCTCTAGGAAGGTTCGGGGTATCCCGTCTAGGGCCTCCGGGCTCCTAAACCCTGTTTGCATCCGGGCCGGGCCGCTTAAGAAATCCTAGGCTTGACCCCCATCCCTGAACCCGGCAAGCTTAAACCTTGTCGTCTAAGGAGTCTAGGACCTTGGGTTCTCTCTCCGTCTCATGCTGAGGCTGGATTGTATTGGTTTCGAAGCTGCACGGGGTGGACGGGCCGTCGACCTACGGTTCGGGGTTTTGGAATTAAGTTGCGCTTGCCTTCGGACTAGTTACGATCAGTTTGTCGTGTAGCAGCACTGACCTTTCGTGTTGTAGGCATGATTAAGGTTTAGGGATGACGAGGGGAGCTACTGAGCATGTACAGCTTCAGAGTCGCTTGTAAGCCTAGGAGTGCCTTGCGGACCAAGCTATCTGGACTCCAAATGGGAGCTTTGTACTCCTTCAGTCTTGAAAAATCTGCTGCGGCTTAGGGATTGAAGCCTCCATGGCTTTGCAGACTGATACGAATCCACCCTACACGCCCGCACACCAACCCGAGCCAAATCCCCGAACCCGAAACACACACGGTGACATCTGATAGGTTTGACAGGGCCGAGAGAAATAAGGAAACACATAAACGTGCATGTAGTGTAGCAGTATGTAGCAGTGGTACTAGTAGCATCAGCGAAAGCAGTAGCAGCAGCAGGAGAAGTAGAAGAGTAGCAGTAGTCGTCGTCGTGGTCGTCATGGTCGCGGTGGTCGACATGGTCGTCGTGGTCGTCGCCATCGTCGTCGCAGACGTAGTCGCAAGCGTCGTCGTAGCAGTAGTAGCAGTAGCAATAGCAGCTGCAGCTGCTGCAGGAGCCGTAGAAACAGTAGCAGCATCAGGAGCAGGAACAGGAGCAGGAGCGGGAGCGGTAGCAGTAGCAGTAGCAGTAGCAGTAGCAGTAGCAATAAGAGTGGTAGGGGCAGCAGCAGCAGCAGTAGCAGTAGCAGTAGGAGCAGTAGGAGCAGTAGGAGCAGTAGTAGTAGTAGTAGTAGTAGTAGTAGTAGTAGTAGTGGTAGTAGTAAGAGGAGGAGGAGGAGGAATAGTGGTAGTAGCAGTAGTAGTAGTAGTAGTAGTAGTAGCAGTAGTAGTAGT